TTTTAATAAACAATTACTAAGATGTCACATAAGCTGAATTTTTCTCATTTGTCATTTCAGAATATATGGATTTTTTTTTCCTATGTAAAAATAGTGGTCAGACAGAGTGATTCTCCTTCAGGTTACAGTATTTCTCCTTGGGGTTACTGAATGTTTCCAAGATGCCATCAAGTAAAGCAAGCCAATTCTTTAGGGAGAAAATAGTCATGAAAAACGCAATGGTAACACATCATAATTATTTTCACAAAGGTAAAAAAGTTATGCATTATTGTACAGCAAGGAAAAATGCTTCTTTTTATCTGATTCACACTTATTTTAAATATAAATTGAATTTCTCTGAAGTTGTAAGGTAAAAAGCCAGATTATATTTTTCAAAATTTTAGATGATCCACATTTTATATATTACATTGTCAATTATGTGCTATACTTATGTGTATATTTAATACATGCAGGAAAGAAAGTTCTGTAGCCTTTTCAATTAAAGCAAACTAGATTTCTCGGCCTTTATAGCTTAAGTCATAAGACAGACTTTAAAGGGGAAAAAATGAAATGTACTAATGTGTCTTATTTCTTTTGCTGTGTGGGCTGAAACATTGCTGTGTGGGCTGAAACATTTAAACTACTTTTGCTGGTCACACATTATATACACATTAAAATATAAATATTTTACTCCAGAAAACAAAATAAACTGTGTGGAAAGAGATTCTGAACAAACAAAAGGACAAGACACATCCTTAGAACACATGAATTTTATACATTCTAACGATTCTTTCAGAAAGGCTTTGGTTCTGAAGCCCTAGTTCAATACAGCCAAGTAAATTTCTACCCCCTCCTGCTGTTCGTTTTCTATTCAGTCTCTTGGGATTGTATCTTGGATAAGGAAAATGGGGTGAAAAAGTTTCTTAAATCCAATTCCAAGTCCTGTGGGGGGTATGCATAAGGTGAAAAACAAATGGTCCACCATTCTCAATCTAATTCCTCCCCTACTCTCTGCAGCTTCCTAGTGTAGTACATAGTGAAAAACCACCACATTTTACATGACTATGCTTCTTGTTAATAAAAAAAAAATACTAAAGAAAATGGGAAAAAAGCATTCTATGACACTTCGAAAGACAGAATTTATATATATTTTTTAGTTTTATAAAGTTTTAAATATGCATAGCTATTTTATTTTAAAGTCTATTCATTAGGCAGAGTAGGTACTAAATGATTGACTTTATTGATAAATATGACACTGTTTGCTATACCCCCTATTCTCACAGGTCACATTACAACAAGCCAAAATATCTACAATGAAGGAATTGTGATAGAATTAAAAAGCAGCCTATATAAAACTGCTAAATTTAAGTCTCAGCAAAACATTATAGTGTCTGAGAGAAACTCTTGAAACAGAGTTGGGAGTGAAAAAATAGTGAAGAACAAAATTTCATTGATTTTAATATGACTGGAGATTTATAACAATTTATAAGAGCTAAAATTAAACTGAATGTGGATTTGTTCAAGCACAAAAGATTATCAGAGTCCAAAATTCAATTTTGTTACTCTACTTTTACTGCAATTTAAACATCCACTATTCCTGTTCTGTGGATATATTTGGCAATGATACCTATAGACTGTGAGAAGTTTGGGCTGTTCAGCTTTTTTAAAACAAATAATATTATCTATTTCTCAATGAGTTATCACTCTGTGGAGTTGTGAATCCTCTTCTAACACCTTAGCTGCAGATTATGACACCCTCAAAGTCATTGGACATTAGTGCCAAAGTCATATTTCAGCATTCTTTTCCAACTCAATTTTTAAAAATGTGGCAACAATAAAACATTAATTCCTTTAGGAGGGAGACAGATGAAGGGCAGGAAAAACATTTTACAATTTTCCCTACTCCTTAGCACCTCCATTCTATCTCTAATGAATTCTATACCGCCCCAACACACACCCCACACAAATGACACCTACAGACCATTCACTTAGTATAATGCCCTCCATATTCAACCATATGTCATAAACAAAAGTGTTTCTCTTTCTTTTATGGCTGTATAATATTCCATTATCTATTCTATCATAAATAGAAATACAGATATCACATTTCATTCAACCAGCGTCAATGGGTACCTAGGTGGTTTCCATATCTTGGCTATTATGAATATTATTGCAGTGAATATGGGATTGCATATATCTTCTTGAGAAATATTTTGTATATGAACTAAGAAATGGGCTCATTTTCTGTATCTTTTTTAGTGAGTAGTTTTGCATTCCACTGGTTTGAGTCTTCCTCTTCCCTAGGCATATTACCTAATTCACATAGTTTTTCTTCCATCATTGTTATACAGTAAACATTCCTTAATGGAGATCATTTTTCCTGGATATATTGTGGTTCTCTCTTATTTCTCAAGGATCCTTAATATGTCTTACATATATCTTTCTTCTCAATCAAAAGTGAAGATTCATTAACATTCTCAACTCTAGTCTCATTCAAGTTTAAACTCTCTAGTTGGTGTTGTAAAATGTTAAGTCCAAGAACTGTGTTTTTCTTAAGTTTTGTTTATTACATATTTACACTTCTCTCATATTCATCAGCTGCTTTAATTTGCTGATTTTCTGCCCTCCATCACTATAGACTTAGGCAATGGCAGAGAACCAACAGTAGCTTTGTTAAAATTTGGTGTATATTTGTCTACTTAAAGGTAATTTATGGGGGAAGAGCTAATTAGACTTTTCTCCAAAGACATGCAGATGGCCTATAGCCATGTGAAAAAAATGCTCACCATTACTGTTGGTGGGAATGGAGACTGGTGCAGCTCCTCAGAAAGCAGTCTTGATTTTTATCAATATATTAAAAATAGATCTACCATATGACTCAGCAATGCCACACCTAGGTATCTATCCAAAGAATATAGAAACACTAATTAAAGAATATGTACACACCTATCTTCACTGTAACACTATTTATAATAGCCAAGTTAGCGAAACAACCTAAGTCTTTAATAATAGATGATTAAGTTAAGAAGATGTGCATTCTATCCACAAAGGAACACTGTATCACTACCAAAACAAACAAACAAAAAACAAAAAACAAAACAAAACAAAAAACCTAAATCCTACTTTTGTGACAACATAGATGGAACTAGGGAGGATTGTGCTAAGTTAAATAAGGCAGAAGGAGACAGATATTGGATGGTTTCCCTCCAATGTAGAATATAGATAAATGGGGCAAAACAGACTAAGATAACCAAAAACATATCCTATGATTCTGAATGTAAAACTGAGACTACCAGAGTGGGAGCAGGAAGGTGGAGAACAAAAAGGGGATGGATTCAAAACAGGGGAGGGAAGGGCATAAGGGACTATGGTGATGGTACAAGGGTAAAGGACTTGTACATAGTGGAGGACTATGGCTGCCTTGCTGGTAGGTGTGGTGTGGCAGCATACATGTGAACAGATGTGAACCTACACCTCTGAATCATATACACTATTGTAAATCACTATTACTCACAAAATTTGGTTATAATTGTTTTCCCCCAATTATCCATTTATATTTCAATATAATTTAAGAAATATCTATTGATATACAGAATTTTCAATGCAGTTCAGTCTGATAATCTCTTTTATGAGTTCTTTCTTTACAGTGTTTTAAAATATTTTCTCAATAATAATACCAGTGAAAGACTGATGTTCTTTTATTCCCATTTTTATGTTGTCAAAATGACATTTCATTACTCCATCTCAAGTTATTTTTGTATATAAAGTATGGTAATACAAATAAATAGTTTCCTAAGCATAATAAGTCTGCTTCAGAGTATTCTGTTCTCTATATTCTGTTCTCTACAGCTTTTATATTTATACCAAAAAATTATTTTGATTTTGTAGTTTTGTATATTTTGATACTCATAGGGTAAGCACTATATATTTCACTGTTCTTTGACTAGTTCAATAAAATGATATTTTGAAGCTATCATAAACATCTTCATTACTTTTAGAATATACTAGGATTCCTTCATGAAATCTAGAATATAGTATGATTCTTTCATGTCTCACAATGTATCTTCACATATCATGTCATTGTAATTTCAAATATATGTAGTTGACATTTCAGCAGCAAAATATATCATTAATACTGATGATTCAAAAGTCACAATTTACTAAAATTATGTATCTATGGAAGTAAACTATTCAGACATCTCCAATAAAGAAGAGAACTTTATTATCAATTTGTTTGAAAAAAGTATGCGGATATGATACACAGAGACGATTCCTGAGGAAGATGAAGATGGAGTGTATAGAGTGATTACTAAATTCACTCCTGGGCAGATTATGAGAAATTCTGCCATATTTGATTAAGCACCAACACATCTAGAACTGCATGTTTATAATTTTCTAAATTGAAATAATTTTCTTTTTTACATATTTCTTATTTTATGTCATATATATTTTATATCATTCTTCTTTTTTGTACAATGTGTGCTTTCTCCTCTCAGATGTAATCCCTGTATAATCCCCACCACCAATTCACCTGTGCACCATCACCACAGTCCCTTATGCCCTTCCCTTCTCTGTTTTGATCCCTCTCCCTCCCCTTCCCCTACAGAATGTCTCTGATACGTAGTTGCCTGTTAATTTTGCTTTTTAATTTATTATAATTTATTTTCCTGATTTCTTATTTGGTTCCTCTACATTCCTTCTATAAGTGAAACCATCCAATTTCTTTTTTCTTTTTCTTTCTGGCTTATTACACTGAGAATAATCTCTTCCTTTCAGATCCATCCATGTTGCTGTGAATGGCATGAGTTTATCTTTTTTTTTGATTGCTGAGTAATATTCCATGTGTAAACATACCACATCGTCTTGATCCAGTCATCTGTTTTGGGGCATTTGGATAGTACATCATTTTCTTTTCTCCTACCTTTTGATTTTTCATGACTTCCACTCAGAGAAACTTGAGGTTTTACTAACACGACAAAAATTTCTAGCCATATATTATACATAATTTTCCACATATTTACCTTGTGAAGTCTGTCATCTCCATCATGATCATACACATCTTCTTTGCCAAAACAATGATATCATTGCTTGTATCATCCCATATCTCAATTTCAGCATCCAGTTTGCTCTTTACTTTCTTGAAATCAGCAACTTGCTCAGCAATCTTTTCCTTTTCTGCTTCAGGCAATTGAGTCATCTTAGCCTAAAACAAGTGATAATAAGATTTATAATCATTCCACTATGTCAAAAAACATTAATGTCTTATTGTAAGATGCTAATAAAACTTGTTCATTGACAAACACACATCGTAGTTGTGTTGAAAAATCAAAATTTCCTAGGTTCAATTTTTTATATGAAAAATCTTTTGAATTTTCATCGTTTTCCCTAGAAGTACATTACATTTAGAATAACAATGTAGAATTTAACATCTGATATGTTTAAATCTCCTTGAGGTAAATGTGAGAGCTTACAAAATATTGTTATAAAAGCATATGCTTCATTTAATTATATACGCAAACAAATGGAAATCTAACATTTTTTTTTAATTTGAAATAAGATTATATCTTATACATACACCTACACAGAGATATAGATCCTTACATAAATACTGAATATACACTGGTTTAAAAAGTAAAAATGTACAGTTATAAATCATGTGAGTACATACATAAAATCATAAAAACTATATCACAGGAAGAGTAAAAATATTATGAGCAGGGCTTATTAGGGCAGTTCCCTCCAAATAACATTGAGTTTTGAGGTCCTATTCTCCCATGTAAACTTGATGTGTTGGAATATTATTATTCTTTGTGTATGTAGTATTTTGAACAGTATACAATTTGCTCATCTTCCATTGACAATCTAAAATGTAGGAAGGGCAAAAAAAAAATCTATCCTCCTCAACTATCATATTCACAATTTCAGCACCTAGGACCTGGGATTATTTGTCAAATTGAAAAAGTCTTGATTTGGTAACATCAAGGCTGAAAAATTTTGCCAGTCTAGATATATTATCTATACTATAATAATCAGGCTGATATATAATCATCTATATTGTCAAAAAAAAAAGAATCTATGCATAGTCTAAAAGTAGAATGAATACACAGGTCTGAAAGGGAGCATTTAAAAATGATAAAGCATACCCTTATGTGAAATTGATGTATTTTATTATCTATGTCACATAGAATATGTGACATCTGCAGTGACTATATATTACTGGTGGATGCTAATCTCTAGAATACCTATACATGGGGAGATAAGAAGAAATCACCTCAAAAAGCTTTGCAATATTTTGTATACTACCTTAGGAATATATAGAACACATTGTATCAATAGTGTACAATAGTAGAAAAGGTTAATGATGACATGAATAGAAAGAATGAGCAATGGAAAATCCAACTAAAAAATAAAACTCAAAGACCCAACATCAAGTCTTTCATTTATTACACTGATAAAATTAATTCAGAGTTTAAAATAACTTGGTTTCGGGCCTCCCCGGTGGCGCAGCAGTTGAGCGCTGGCTTGCGAAGCTGCCGGCAGCCTCTGCAGCGCTGGTTTGATCCCCGGCTGCTCCCCGGCCACGGGTGGAGGGTCCCGCATGGCGAGCAGACCTCTCCTGCGGCCCGCTGCCCCTCAGCAGTGTGCTTGGGTCCTTCTGCCTGCTCTGCTCCCTGCTCTAGCTCTGGGGAATTCTCTCACCCTCCCGCGCTTCTGACTGTACCCAGTGCTTGTATAAATAAATAAATAAATAAATAAATAAATAAATAAATAAATAAATAAATAAATAAATAAATAAATCTTTAAAAAAATAATAAAATAACTTGGTTTCTATAAAATATTAAGATACCCATGCTTCAGTTCTTACCTAGTAAAGAAAATAATGAGGTTTTTCTGACTTGAATTAATGCTTGACATGTGGTGACTATCCAATAAATGATAGCTATTTCTTATTCAATAAAATATTGTCAAATATACTCATAAATGTACAATTTAAATTAGTTTTATTTTCATTATTTATCTTTGAAGAATTAAATTAAGTTGTGTGACATTAGAATTTTAGTTGATGAACTGTACAGGTGACTCTTCTTTAGGATTTGGAAACAGTTTACAGTTTCTTTTCTCAGGAAATGTGCCCTCAGTGATACATAGATTGAAAGACGAGACATTTTTATACTGCTGACATATGGCAAGGCATGCAAATGAAGACACAGCTCATTTATATCTTAAATCAATAATATGCAAGTGCATTATGTAAATTATAAGCTACCAACCCATTAGACTAGCTCAAAAATAGAAATAAATTTTCTGTCTTGACTACTAGTCACTATCATTTTCTCTATTTTCAAAAGAAGAGAGTTTAACATTCTCAAATAATAGTTTCAGTTAGGGTCTGTTTTCTCAGTTTTATCTAACAGTATATAAATTCAAGACTTTGGATCTTAATTTTGAAGTACCTCATAGAAAACTCCTCACTGTCATCAAAGTAAAGTTACAAGTATTCAAGAGAGGATTTGATTACACGTATTCTAAAGTCTGTCCCTTGGAATACAATTTCCAATGTGACCTTGAGGAGAGTCACTTAACCCTACTGTCTATGTTTCTGCAGAAACAAAATGACAGTAATTGCAACTGCTACCCACCTGCCATGCAGGAAACACAGTCGATTATTGGATAACATTGAATCTGACCCTGTCATGAACAGGAATCTCATCGGTTGCACTCGATTTCCTTAATAACATCTCAACTCACATGGTGAATTACAATTGACAGACATTTACTTCTGACAAGATAAGGACCCAAAGTTGGGCAATAATTTACAAAATTAAAATGTTCTAGAGAATTCTGACTCACAAGGAGAACAAGAGCAAAACATTAAATTATGGACTGACACCTTTACTGAAGGTTTTTAGTGCTTCTATGAATGATTTATTATACGCCATCAATCAATTTCACTCACTATGAAAATTTCAAAACAAGACTTAAAAGAATGCTTGACATTTAGGAGTTCTGGGTAAAATTTTCTTACTGGATTATTTTGTATATGGTAAGCAAAGAAACTGGCATACAAACTTAATAAAACTTAGTTAAATTAAATCTCTAATGTTATCACTAGTTGACTCTATGCCTCAGCTCTACAGAGTAGAAATCTGATATAAATAGCCACAAAGTCTTTGAATCACTGCCATCTGTGAGGTAAGTATTACTGTGAGGTAAGTATTACTATTTTATCCTGATTTTATGGATTATAAAGTTGAGTATTCAAATGTTTGGTGATTTTCTCAACTGGTAGAACCAGGATACAAATCCAAAGACTCTGGCTCTAAAGCTATCACCATGCCAACAACACCAGCAACATTGCCCATAACATGCCAAAATATCTACAGTCTTTTTGATGGTATTTCTCTGCCATGTCCTATGCTTTAGAAGGTAGGATTATATTTGCCAAAACATAATCACATATTTTTCAGTATCTAAATTTTCTGATCTAGAAACTGAAAATAATTCTTATTTATCTCACAGGCTGCTTTAGAAATTAAATGAATTAATGTCTATGAACACAATTTTTAATTCATAAATGCTACCGAATGGCAACTATTGCTTACACAAATAGTTTTACTACTTCATTCTATGCAGTGATTTTCAGAATTTTATTTCCAATGTCATTCTTCGCTTTTCAAGCAAACGCTATACTCTCCCATTAGATTATTAGGCATTTCCAAATATATATGTCATTTACAACTTTAGTCTAAAATAGGGGCTAGCAGAAATTTTTTTATAAAAGGAAAGTTAATATCTATCTATCTATCTGTCTATCTATCTATATACACACACACACACACACACACACACACACATATATATATATATATATATATATACACATTTTGTTTGTGTTTTTCAGGTCATACATACTACCCTATCACATTACCCAACTCTGCTGCTATTGCATTGCAAGAATAGCCATAGATAGTGCAAGCTAACAAGCATCACTGTGTTGCAATAAAACTTTTTATGGACACTGAAATTTGAGTGTCATATAATTTTCATGTGCCATAAATATTATGTCTATTTCCAAATATTTTTAACCAGTTGGAAATATAAAAAAAAAAACTTAGTTCAGAGACTGTACAAAACAGTTGTGAATCAGATCTGATCTGTTGGCTATAGTTTATCAATGCCTGCCAAATCTATTTTTGATTTCAAAAATATATCTACCATATGAGACAGTGATTCTACTCCTAGGTATCTGAAGAACAAAAAACACTACGTTAAATGGATAAAAGCACTTCTATGCTCATTGTGCACTATTTTCAATAGCCAAGTTATGGGAAAAAAATCGAAGTGCTGAAACAGAGATGAATGGATTAGGAAGCTGTGGTATATATACTCAATGGGATACTTAGATTGTCTATTAAAAAATAAGATACCATTTGTGACATGGCCCTACAGGGGATTATGCTAAGCTAAGTAAGTCAGAAAGAGATAGACAAGTACTAATTATTTCATGTATATGTGGAATGTAGAGAAACAAAACAAAGTGTCAGATAAAGACCAAGAACTAGGGGTGCCTCGGTGTTGTGTATGTGTGGTAACATACTCCTGAAGGGTGTGATCATATATCTCTGAATCATATACAACATTATAAACCAATGTTGCCTCAATAATTTCTTTAAATTTTAAAAAAGAAATTGAAGAAATATAAAAACAGCACATAGCCTGATAGAACAACGGAATAATTCAATAAGTAAATACTATGAAGGCTGAGAAACTCTAAAAACAGGTGCTACAAGTCCATTTATTTCATTTACAACAGTATTATTACAGAAGTAAGTGGAAAATTATTAACTTTTACTTTGCACACAACTACACTAAGTCTGGTTACCTGAAATCCATGCCCCGGTTTACAGTAAATTGGAAGGAGATGGGAGTTCTGCTACTATGATCCAAGAAAGGAGAAGAAAATCTATTAAAGAGGAGACAAAGCTCAGATAATTGGGAGCCTTTCAGTTTATGAATAATCTTTCCTACTCATACCACCACATCTCTATCATATCTTATATTATAGCATAATCCAATTATGTTTGGTCATAATACTCACAATGAGTCATCCACAACATCATCTCCCACCATTTGCTTACTTTCTACTATAGAGCAAATTTATATGGCACCATACTTGCTCCCAAGGAGTTTTAAACCTTTTGG